TTCTTAAAATAAATACTCGGGCGATGCTTTGAAATAAAATTAAAAAAAACAAAAAACCATAAAAATATGAACCTTATATTAAAATCCGGAACAAAATTATATATATATTTTTCTGCCTTTTCTTTTATTATATTCATGACCACATCACCTTGTAGAATCTCATTTCCGAAACTTCTCATGATTCCTTGACATTATGTTACGTGGTCCGAAAGAAATCGTAATATAAATTTAGCTACTTCCAATTTCTCTTCAGACATGGACTAGTAAATAAATTTGTAAACAAATAAAATCTCCAATACTAAAAGTTAAATCATACATTTTAGATGCATCAAGGGTGGTCTTCAGTGAGGCACTGTTCTCATCGCCGAATTCGGGTTTCGCATCATATCGGCTCCAACAGCAACCCCGACCTGATTCTAGACAAGTCAGGCCGCCTCCTTGAAAGCGTCGAGCTACGCTCCGCGACATTACAAAAAACAGTAATCGTAAAAAACTAGCAAGGCCGCACTTCGACCGTTCTTATTGACATGTCAGTCAGCGTGAACCAATGAAAACAGGGCTGTTCACATTTCTCTTCTATATAATGGTGTCTTATTACTACATCCGGTTTTCAATTTCCGGAATCCATACCCAGGCGAGCTGGTATCTTTTTTGTATTAAGTCCATGTTTTATCTTTTAAATACCAATCCCATATCAATCCTTAATTTCAAATACACCTACGCTCATACTCAACTTAAAAAATATTTCGAAAAAAAAAACTACAGCAAATAAGCCATGTCTTTCATTATATACTAAGGAGACTATCTTATTCCCCTCTTTATTTTATTTTTTTTAATCGTTTTCACCCCAAGCAAGGCAGAAAAGCCACTAAGACTCAAGGAGTTACTGGGTGTGGAAGGATTAAGAACAGAAAACATTACTTATGAACGGGAAGAGAAATGAATAATCAAGAAGACAATAGTTAGCGATTGACACTGAATTTAAATTTTTGGAGATTAAGGTTGGCCGGAAAGCATGCAACCGGAAGGGAGTTCCACAAGCGAGAGGTGCGAGAAAAGGAACTGTTAACATAGAATTACATCTAGCCAGCTCAACTTTAAATTTAGGAAATCTCAATGCCAGTCTAGTACTGCGCATAAATTCATAAAGTCTAAATACCACAGCGAAGAGCTTACCCGAACAATTCCCAAGAAAAATATGTATAGAAAAGACACAGGGAAACAACCATACGCCGGTGGTATGTAAGTATGTAGTGATACTATCTACGATAATACGCCAGGATACAACACCAAGTTTATGAAATGTTAGTGCTAAGCCAAATGCGCTCGGACGAACTGGGCGACAGCTTCTGAAAGAAAAGAATCTAATCCCTACAATTTAAATATATTTAATAATCAAATAAACAAAGAATAATAAATAAAAAGCAATGTATAGTGACAATGTGCATCTGAAGACTTAGCATAGGAGAACAGGCGTCCAGGTGTCTTCCCATCAGTCTTTGTTGAAGAAGGGACCTTCTTAAGTACAAACATAGGTTATTTAGTTAGTAGTAATTTCTCTTGGGTTGTCAGCTTTGTTCTGTAAACCTGATGCCACTGTCTGCGATTAGTGAAGTGAGTAGCTTCGTACTTCTCGAGTAAAGTGGTTGAAGAAAAAAGTGGACGGGGCTTTGAAGTTGGTCTTTATCTTGCGATTTGGAGATCAGAATGTTCGGCTGTCAGCAAGAGGAACACTCCAAAATACGAGTTGGCGATGTCATAATCAATCAAGTATTAAAATTTAAGAACATTAATAACGAATATCTCTCCGTACTTTTCTGAGACATGACGCAACCTAAGCTGCCATATCTATACAAAAGAACGTAACTCCCTAGCAGGATTAAAAAGACGCATTCACACTGACCTTTCAGGACGTTGGTGATCATGGCTCTCCACAGTTTCTTGTCTTTTGTAGCTCTAAATAAATTTTCTCTTTTTTCCTATCTGTTGTAAATCTTGTCCTGCTCTCATTTTACTCAAGTTCAGTAAGTAGGTTTTTCATTGTATTCCTTTGCCCCTTTTGCCTTCATTCCGCCCTATGGGTATCATATTCCCCAAGCCGTTTTTTTTCATTATGTGCCTTAGAAATTCCAACTGTCTTTTTCTGATGCTTAGTATAAGTTTCCATTTTCTCTAAAACTTCGTCGTTGTTAAGATGTTAGGTCCATGGTATCCACAACTTTTATTCTTATATATTGTTGTAATTGTTTTTATTAATTATTATTGTTAATCTCTTATAGCAGAGATGTACAGGAAGAAGCAATCTTCTATCAGTCTCATAACTTTTATTACAAGAAATTGTCATAATTGTTTTAACTTATTATAATTTATTATTGTTAATCTCTTATTGTGCCTCATAAGATCTACGGCCTTGAGGGTGATGAATTATATCCCACCAAGCAACCACTCTCTCACAGATGAGATGTAACAAGCCTCTCACTGCTCTATCGCTATTTCCATGGAAAGTGCTCAGGCGAACTACATTCCTTATTTCCACCAGTTGTGAGCTTCACAGCTAGGACCCACCATGCCACGCACATTATAGCAAACCACCCGCATTCTCACTGTAAAAAAATACCGCATTGTGCTACTATTACTTTTGCAATGTTCGGTGATGTTGTATATCCGGTATGAGATTGACTATAAAGAATTGCAAAAACAGTGAATTTTATTTAAATGATGGCTAAGAAACTCAAGAACCATTAACATTTAGCCAGCGTCGTAATGGTTATTGGCGCGAAAAATGGAATTAGCCCACTAAATCTATGTACCGGCCTAGTTTAACGCTTACTGGTAAATGTTCAGAGTGGTTACATTCCTTAGTTCCACCAGTTCAGACTATTCCAGCTAAACATGCCACGTACACAAGATCGAATCATCATCATTTGCTTCGTATTTTCTATCTTTACAGAAGCCAGATCAGGTCTAAAATGGAGTACTGCTGTCATATTTGGGCAGGATCTGTCCAGTCCTCACTTTCCAGTCTCAATAGAGTCCAAAAGCGTTTCTGCGTCCTTGTGGGTGACATTTTTTCTTCCCCACCCTGCAATTCCTTCTCTCACAGACGAGATGTGTGTCAAGCCTCGCACTGCTTTATCGCTACTTCCATGGAAAGGGAACGAACGAACTACATTCCTTGGTTTCGCCAGATCTAACCTTCACGGCTAGGACCCACCATGCCACGCACATTATAGCATACCACCCCCATTCTCACTGTAAAAAAATACCGCATTGTGCTACTATTACTTTTGCAATGTTCGGTGAATCACGCGAGAACTCAGCTGCAATATGAGAAAATATTTGAAAACACTTGCAGCATTCCAGTAGATATATGCAAACATCAAAGAACGATATATTGTTTTCTTTTATTAGGTTGGTGCAAAAATAATGACGTAATAATGTCGTTTTGACGTTAAAAAATACGTCAAAAACGACATTATTACGTCATTATTTTGCACCAACCTAATATTTCCAATATTAATTCGCGGTATGTGTGCCTAAATACAGTGGTTTCGATTATCCACGGTTCATATCCATGGTTTCAGTTAATTGCGTCCAACATAAAAAGAATTTAAATCATAAGTTTTATGTAATAAAGGTCTCAAATTCCATGATTAGTCCTTGGAATATTTGGGAAATGTTAATAAAAGTCATAAAATGATTGTTTTAAATGAAAACATTAAAATTATATAAACAAGACTTATTCAAACGATGCGAAGATGTACTTTAACAACGAATATTCTATCCGTCACGTAACTTTTAGAATAGTATATTCTTAGAATTTATCTATTAAATAGAGTTATTGTTCCTAATAGGATCTACGGAAATACCGAGTTTTTATTCTTTATATAACTTATATTAGAATATATTGTTATAATTATTCTATTTTATTAATAATTATTATTGTTAATCTCTTAATGTGCATAATAATATCTACGGGAAGAAGGAATCTTTTATCCGTTTCATAGCTTTTATTACAATAGATTGTCATAATTGTTCTATTTTATTAATAATTATTATTGTTAATCTCTTATTGTGCCTAATAATATCTACGGGAAGAAGGAATCTTTTATCCGTTTCATAGCTTTTATTACAATATATTGTCATAATTGTTCTATTTTATTAATAATTATTATTGTTAATCTCTTATTGTGCCTAATAATATCTACGGGAAGAAGGAATCTTTTATCTGTTTCATAGCTTTCATTACAATAGATTGTCATAATTGTTTTAACTTATTATTAATTATTATTGTACCTAATAAGATCTCCGGGAAATTGGAATCTTCTATATGTCTCATAAGTTTTATTGCAAGAAATTGTCATAACTTTTCTCTTGTATTGTTAGCGATTGTTGTTAATTTCTTTCTGTACCTAATACGAACAGTGCATATGGCTTTTCTATGCGTCACGTAACAATTGTATTTAATATAATATTAATAGTGTTTCCATTATAATTGCTATATTTTATTCTGACTCATTCTTTATCTAATACTGTGTCCCATTTATAAATGCTTCCTATATTTTAGCATATACATTCCAAAGCTTTTAGAGTAGGGATGTTAGAAATTAATGTGAGAAAAAAGTTAAGTTAAATTTAATATATTCAAATTTCTTTTTCTATGTATCGTGTCCCTTAAGGAAGTTCCTCCACAACTTCCTATCCCTTGTAGCTCTTAGAAATAATTGTCTTTCTGCTATCTCTCTTAATCCCTCTTTTGCCAACCATTTACAAAAAAGCTCATTATATAGGTCACTCCTTGCTTTTCTCTGTCCCTCTTGCCTTCATCATGTACTATGAGGGTTACATTTTCCAAGCCCCTTATTGCCTTCATCATGTACTGTGAGGGTTACATTTTCCAAGCCCTTTATTGCCTTCATCATGTACTGTGAGGGTTACATTTTCCAAGCCCCTTATTGCCTTCATCATGTACTGTGAGGGTTACATTTTCCAAGCCCTTT